CGGTGTCGAATCGTACTGTGGTCAAACGGAACACGCCCCTTGAGACTAGGGTTCGATTCCCGTTGGGTTTTTTTTTTATGTAATATAACAACGTATATATGTATTGTATATTCATGTAAAATAAAATTAATTTCACCACTAACTTAATTTTTTTAGTGTGTATTTTTAAAAGGCAGTATTTTTCTATTTTTAATTAAAACTTTGTTTTACATTTAATAACGACAAAAATAAAAGTATGCAATAGCACAGGTAGCATGTTTTTTAAACGCAGCCAATGCTTATTGTTTTATGCATGTATCCAATAAAATACTACAATATAATATAATATACTATATAATAAAACAAAGACAAAATAAAATAAATAAAACATCAGTATTTGAACATAATTAAAATTGGAATTCAAAATTAAAAAACAATTTAAAAAAATATTTTGCCAAAACACATTTATTCATTTAATAAAATCATCAAAATACTATTATATCATCTAAATAATTGTAACTCAGAAAGCGTAGATAGTGAAAATGAATATACATTGATATATTACATAAAAAAAAACCTAACGGGAATCGAACCCTAGTCTCGAGTAGTAGTCAGGCGCTTAAGCGCCTGCGCTACTCCGCGCTTCTGGAAAACCGTCCTAACGTAACGGTATATAAGTAAATCCATATAGTTTGAATCGATTATTCTCGAACATGGCTGAGAGGTGCGTCCTATCCCTTTGCTCAAGTATTCTTCTGGTACAGTACTATACTACAAAAAAACCTCGCCTTGTAAGATAAAAATGAATATTGATGTTTTACTCTAATATACAAGTCGTTATGTTATGTTAATGATATAGCGTAAAGTGTCATAACATACTCGAGTTAAGTAACTGTAATTACAGTTGCTGTACAGTTGCTCTCTGTTTGTACAAATCATCACTTTGGTATTAAAAATAAAATAAACTGAGGTTCTCGAGAACACCGTATAAACAATCAATGATACCACCACATAAGTTTGCTAAATAATTAATTAATCATTTTGAGAAAATTGAAAAGTAAAATATCACACATTTCTACGTAGTACTGACAATNGTATATAAGTTTAGTAGCGACATACAAATCGTATGCAAAGCTAATATCAACTAATGATTGTTGTTTTATCGTGTCATATTGTGTAAATCATCTTGATAGTAAGAGCATCACCAGCAATAAACGCCACACACACACACACACACACACACACACACACACACATTTGAGGTACAAAAAAATCCTTCATTATTTCCTAATATTTCAAAACATATCATATATACTGAACAAAATAAGGAATGGTCAATCAATACGTAAAGATCACATTGGGCAAAAACAAAGAAGAATGTCATAATGCATTTGCAAGAAGTATACCTCTTTATCTGTATTCTTCTATGTATTGGAACAACCAGGTCGTCAGGAAAAATTTAGTCTTCGTGTTCCTTTTGAAATAAACATTTGAAAT